ACGTCAACGGCATTATTGTTTTTCCTTTTACTGTGCCTTTCTTTAGTTTATCTTCCTCTTCCTTTTGGTTTTCACATGTAAAGTCATTTAAAAGGAGATCTACAAGATCTACTGCATATTTAGAGAATATATCAGAGCCAGATCGAGGAAGCAATCAACAACACATGCTTAGTTGCAAAGTCTGTAAGTATTTACTTCCATCTAACTGCCTAGTTATCTTTTTCTTCTGTTTTCTCTCTTCTTTTCTTTTCTTTTCTCTTTTTTGGATGATTTTGTAGTATTTGTTATAGTACAAGCTGCACAACTTATGACCTGTGCTTGCACCCTTCTCCAGGTATTGCGTAATCGCGGTAAAATCCATACTCTACTCCAAAGAGTATAGATCTACATCAATTATTCCCAAGCAATCAGTGGAATTTGCTATCTGATGACATTGAAGAAGCTATATATCTCAACTAGGTATGTAAGAGTTTTCCGTTCTTCGTAGATTGTGTTTCCTTTTTCTTTTTCTGATTTTTTTACATCAGCTGCTGGCTTATTTACATTTTTTCACCTTTTAAATATCTTTCTAACTTATTGAACATTTAAGCTTAAAATCTTTATATTAAAAATATTAAATTTAATTTTAATCAATTAAGTCTCCTTGGGACATCTTTTTTCGTTTCTTTTCTTTTCTTATAAAAACATACACATAAAAAATTTAAAAATTTTGTTTTCTGCTAAAAAAATTTTATTTACCATTAAACTTATATAATACCACTTAAAAAGAGAATAAAAATATTGTAAAGTATAAGGTTACAAATAAAAAAATTGTGTATTAATGGGAAGAATCTTCTTTGTGTAACATGGGAGATTGGGGAATGATTCTCAAGTTACCATCAATAATTTGATTAAAATCTTTAAGATTTTTATAAGATAAATAAAATTTTAGGTACAAGGATCTCAAAAACCTTAAGGATGGAAGTTCAAATCTTGCGGATGACAAATTTCCGAAGACTTATATGCCTAAGCATTTATGGTTTATTGGTTTGAGCAATTTTAACAATTTAATCATCTAAATGATTTTAAAGATATACCTAAACTATTTATACTATTATATTAGTTCAATTGGTCTGACTAATCAATCCAGTTTAGTTTTAAAAACTATGATATGGAGTATGTGATTCTAGTAGCATCCATATCCACTGATGTAGGGATATGTGGAGTATGTGTGAAAACAAAATTTGTGAGTTTTTCTGTTTGTGAGTTTTTCTGTGGAAAAGTTTATGCATATGATTTAAAACTTTAAATTATCATCTTTAAATAACAAAAATTGTGCATACGAGGATTTGTTAATTATTTAAATATTTAATAATAATTTTTTTAAATATAAAAATTTTAAATTTAAATTCTTGAGTACATAAATAAAATAAATTAAAAAATAAAAAAATGACCACTCACCATATAAAATTAGATTAAATTTTAAAAAAAAGTATGCGGACCCGTAAGCTCTTATATCTTTAAAAACCAAAACGATTCCGGGGCTGATTTGTCATTTCAACCAGACAAAAATAAGTGATTTTTCCGAGCAAGTGGATGCCTGTTTAGTGGACCCATAAGCTCTCATCTCTAGAAATGGCGAACCAGAAATTAATGATCTTTTCTGTGGAAAACATACATATACGTAGGGCTGGGCATGTTACGGTATGTTAACAGTATTGCATTCAAATGATGGTAATCGTTTTAAGTGATAATAAAAAAAAATTATCATTTTTATACTAATTGATGATTTTTTTATAATGATTGTCAATTATTTTTAATGGTAATGAAACTTATTTTACTAATACTATATCATATTATTATCTTTAAACTTATTTTTTTATTATCAATTAATTCAAATCATTTAAAATTTAATCTTAAAAACTTAAAATTATTTTAAAAACTTATTTTCTCCCTCTTCATCATCTTGAAGCATACAAATATATAATTATACAAAATATGTACACATCAAAAAAAAATTGAAAACTTTGTAGAATAAAAAAAAAAAAAGGAAAAAGTTTTGAATGAATGGTAAATTTAGTAATCATATGGTAAAAATGATAATGACTTTCAATATTAATATAGTATCACAGGTCTAAATAATATTATCATATTGCCATACAATACAGTTGTGTGGCGTTTATGGCATAGTCCCTAGCCCTACGTAGGGGTGGGCATTGGTTCGGTTCGGTTGGAACCGAACCCGAATTGATGGTTTTAATCGGTTGTTTATTTTGTGAAATAACAATCAAAAACCGAACTGAATAATATTTTGGTTTTTTGGTTCGGTTACTAAATTAATCGGTTCGATTGACATCGATTTCGGTTTTGACCGATTCCAGCCTTGAACCCTTAGCAACTTTTTTTTTTTTTTGGATTTGGGCCTTTCGTTTTCT